CACACCACAGTAAAACAAGAGAAGCATTACACACACAGTAAAACAAGAGAAACATTACACACTACAGTAAAACAAGAGAAGCATTACACACCACAGTAAAACAAGAGAAACATTACACACCACAGTAAAACAAGAGAAACATTACACACCACAGTAAAACAAGAGAAACATGACACACCACAGTAAAACAAGAGAAACATTACACACCACAGTAAAACAAGAGAAACATGACACACCACAGTAAAACAAGAGAAACATTACATATCACAGACTTCGAAATCGCTATCGAATAACCAATAAAAACTTTAAATCGATAAAGCCAATGATGTTAACATTTTGTGCTTTTGAATTAACAAACATTTGCACAAGTTTTACTGTCTCGAGTTTTACCGTCAAAATAATAGGTACATATCATAAAGTACTTGTTTGTTCCCATGCTTTCTTTGCTTAAGTCAACTTCTTGCGTTATTATTATTCAGGTGAATCAGGTCTGTCCTTGCCTGTTAAATGTCTACAATTTGCCTTTCTCGAAACATAAAAAAAAAAGAAAGAAAGAAGTTTGTTGATATTGAGCTTTATAGTGATTGTTTGTTTGAAGTTATGCACAAAGCTACACAATGGGCTATCTGTGCTCTGCTCACCACGGGTATCGAAACCCTGTTTCTAGCGTTATAAGTCCGCAGACATACCACTGGGGTGCTTTTTATAGTGATATTTGCTTCAAGCATTAAACCGGTTGAATATTCTAGGTAGATGCTACATGTCAGGCTATCTTGGACATTGAAATTGAAAGTGCACGTTTTCGGTGATCTAAAACCAATCATCTTTCTTTGCATTATTAGTGCTGGGCGGGAGCTATTTCTAACAAAAAATAAAATATTTTAAAATTAATGAACAACAGTTATTAGGGATACATTAACTAGTTTAGTACACAAGCAATACAGTACAGTAAGATATAAACACCACGTGATCCAAAATGACTGCTAACTCGTGGTTGTCACCGTCATCTGAACAATTTTATGTTTACAGTTTGTTTTAAATTTCGCGCAAAGCTACACGAAGACTATCTGCGCTAGTCGTCCCTAATTTAGCAGCATACGACTAGAGGGAAGGTCATGACCACCCATTGCCAACTCTTGGGCTACTCTTTTACCAACAAAGAGTGCGATTGACCGTCACATTACATGTGAGAATGGTTGGTGGGACGGGGATTCGAACCCGTGACTCGCAGATTGCGAGTCCAGCTCCCTAACCACCTGGCCATGGTGGGCCTTACATTTATAGTCTGCCCAATTGTTAAATTGATAACGTTTCCGTGAGCATTGATATTTCTAACTGACTCAAGTTCGTAACACTGTAAACATACATATGAACACACTTAATGCACTATTCTTCATTAAAGGTGTCTTTTTTTTTATCTCGTTACCAAATTATTAATTTCAGCCATAAACATTAAGTCTAGCCAGCGAAACAATGTATTGATTTATATTGGATTACAACATGTAGTTTATAATTTCGCAAAATTATATTTTCCTATTAATAGTCCCCCCCCTTACAATATAAGAATACTTACGAGATTATTTTAAAACACCGATAACATATGTATCGTTTTAATACTAGGATGGTCAACTTTTTTTAAAGTTTCCCCCAACTTTTGTGGGCCAGTTTTTCTTTGATAATCAAAGTTTGTTTGTTTTATCATTTTCCCTTTGGTTTAGTGTTGAACTCGAAGATCAACCCTCTGAAACTACTAGTAAAGAGGTTTTCAACAACTCAAAAGGATCAGAAGACAATCTTGCTACATAAAAATATATTAAAACTAGGAGGGCAGATAGTAAAATGTAGTATTATTTATGGCCCGGCATGGCCAGGTGGTTAAGGCGCTCGACTCGCAATCTGAGGGTTCGAATCCCCGTCACACCAAACATGCTCGTCCTTTCAAAGAGGGAAGGCTGTCAAGCGGGATGCATCCTTGACGTAAGAAACAGCTTTAGAAACGATGGCAGATCTTGCTCTGCCATCGGCTCAACGGTCCGTAAGGACTATGAGAAAAAAAAAGTATTATTTATAAAAAAAAAAATATTTGATCCAACCTATCATCAAATATAATGAAATAGATAATAAGCACTAGGTAAAATAATAGTGACTGACCAAGATTAAATAATATATACAAGTAATCCCTTTGCTAACCAGTTTGTGTGCGTGTGCAGGTTCTGGGATAGGGTGGGAAGGGGGGAGGATCCCATGACTTTTCTGGTTGTGGAAAATATTTTCCTAATTTTTCTACTCTTTCTTCAAATTTTCTGACTTTTCTAGGTCACTCGACACATGTCAAGTTATATGAAATGGGTTTGTAAATCGTGGAGACGGCTAATGTTGGTAGCATAAAACTTTACAGTGTAAATACATTTTTAACATTTACTTCTACTACATGAAATGCCATAACAGCCCAGTATCCTTTTCACGCATTGCAATGTACAGTTTTGTTTTGTTTTGAATTTCGCGCAAAGATACACGAGGACAGTGATTACACAAACTTTTAAAAAAATTCAAATACGATTTTAATAAATAGCGTTTAAATTTTATCGGCAACAGACAAGGCCGCGCGTGGCTTATAAATGCGCCCTCGCTCAGAAAAAAAGGTTTTGTAGTTCGTAGTATGCTAATACTTGTTTTCGTATACAGGTACATTAATTGTAATACAATCCTCAGTATAAAATCGCATACGAATTTTACTGAATTTTGAAAAGATATTTACATGTTGTGTATTTTTTATGAGATGTTTAGTATGTAATAAACATTTCAGTGAAAACAAAATTGAACTTCATCTACCATCTGAATGGTTTTGTACAGGTGGAAAGGAAATTCAAAACATAAAATAACTTTCGTTGAATTTCTCAATGCGCTCAAAGCTACACGAGGGCTATCTGCGCTAGCCGTCCCTAATTTAGCAGTGAATAGTGGGATTGACCATCACATAATAACGCATGTTTGGTGAGACGGGGATTCGAACCCGCAGATTGCGAGTCGAGCGCCCTAACCACCTGGCCATGCCAGGCCTATTTAACGAAACAAAACTCACATTTATCCAATTTTTTATTGTTTCTTATATATATATATACGTCTATTACTACTCACCCAAATGGTTAGCAAAAACACCGTCCAGGTGAATGTTTTCATGACTGCAGTGAATGCTGCTAACAGGACCACGGCTCACTTGTACGGGAGAGTTTCTGACTATTCTTGTCAGTAGGAAAGCGTTAAAGAATGTGGCAAGACTATGTAGTCTAGTTTCAGCGGTGAGGCCAGCAGACTTGCGATTCCAGCGTCCCTGGCGTTCAACCGGGGTCGGCGATTGGTCTGTGGGCAGGTTTTATGGTTGCGCACCTACCAGGCAATTAGCCCTACAGTTTTCAATAGAAACTCCCTAATTGCTGGTTCAGGGAAGGTGGTATGTGTTTACTACACATGCCGCGAGAGCACGTGGTCCAGCCCCGAGGCACTGACTGTATGGATTTGAATGACTCTCACTTTTTCAGTCAGCGACACACAAATAATCATCTCATGTCTGCCGTCTACAGCTAGCCAAAGCAAACCATGTAGCTTTATTTAAAGTTTGTGTTTTGTTCATCGCATGCTTGATGTAAATAAAGGCTAGTCAGAACAACAGCAAAGCCGCTTCTACAGAAAGAATAAAACAACAACAAAAATTATTCTATTGTGAAGAGCTAACTTACATTATGAAATGTAATTTTATCCCTGAAAGACGTTTATTAGTGCTATTATTATGTAATGTTATTTGTCCCATAACCACCTTTGAAAATGTCGTACATTCGTTCAGTTGATATATAATATCGATTTCTGGACCCTACTTTTTAGTACCCCCCGTGGGACAGCGGTAAGTTTAGGGACTTGCGATGCTAAAATCCGGGGTTTGATTCTCCGCGGTGGACAAGAGCAGATACCTCAATGTGGCTTTGCTATACAACGCACACACAACGTTTTGGAAAAAAAAAGAAAGTTTGTTTATTTGTTTGAAGTTAAGCACAAAACTACACAATGGGCTATCTGTGCTTTGCCCACCACGGGTATCGAAACCCGGTTTCTAGCGTTGTAAGTCCGCAGACATACCGCTGTACCACTGGGGGCAAAGAAAAAAATCGGATTCCACCACTACCAACTGCCATCCACATACGAAAATAGAACTAACCTGTTCATAATATAAAATAAAAGATGATGATTACTACATTTATATTCTACTAAACTGCACCCATTGTTCTGATTATTCTTAGTCAAAAGTAAGTCCGTGTAAAGTTATTAGAAATAAATAACTACCTTATGTTGTTTCAAACTGTGTATTTTGTGTTTTGAAGACATTTCCGTTCTATTGTCCGCTCGCAGTGACCCGTAAAGATATAATCTCACATATATTGTTTAATATAATCGTTCTATAAAAACTTTCTACCGCATCCTCTATAATTAAAAACACCCGATAGCCTGAATTGTGTCGGAAGTATCCCATCATTTTCAGGGGTGAAAACATACAATTGGTGGGTTTTCTATTTTACACACCTGTAGCTCCGGGACCGTACAATCTGTAAGCTCTGATCTGTACTACTTGTGGATTCTCTTACAATAAAAATTTAAAAAAGACATTTCAGAGTTAATTCATATTTTCCAATTGGTTGGTTTGGAGATATGGCAGATGTCCAGGAGTCCAGGAAGCAGAGAAGAAGACAAAGGTTGATGACGACGTTGATGAGAAGAAGCAAGATGACAACACTCGATAAAGCATATCTCAATAAACTCCCTGTAAACGGGGTTCTCTCTTGCAACTGGGCGAAGATATACGAAGCCAAAAGCAAATATATATATATAATAGTAATTTTAGATTTAAACGAGCGAAGGGTTTGGGACTGAATCCAACGAGGGTGTTCAGAAAACTTTTTTCTCTTCATCTCCATTCTGAAAAGGATTTAGACTTATGCTGAGAAAAAAAAGGATCATGTGACCCAGGGTCACCTTGTAAGTGGGATATATAAATCCAATGCCATGGCTGGGATAAGAAAATCGAAGAGTGCAGGGGAATTTATTCTGGGGGAAACTGGAGATCCCCGAGAAAACCTACTTTCACAGGACAGGCGCCAAATAGTCTACCTGTCCTGTGCCTCTTCAGTATAACATGTTCTTTATAAACTGCTGGTCCTGTTCTTTGTAACTTGCGGTCCTCATTCTTTGTACCCTCTGGACCCTGTGCAGTATAACTTTGAGCCCTGATTTGTATACCTTATTACGTATGTGTGAATCCTTTATAACTTGTGAACTCTGGTTTCTATAACCCGTGGAGTCTGTTCGGTATAGTCTGTGAACTCTGTTCTGTAGAATCTGTGGACGCTCTGTGATGCATATCTTGTGCCCTTTGTTCTGTATACTGTATATACTATATCTTTACGATATAGTTAAATCAAAGGAAGAACTTGTAACATGAAAATTAAAGCTTTGTTTATGGATAAACCAAGTAATATGTTTTAAAAACCTATTTTAGTCTTTAAAAAAAACACTACATTTTGCTAGATTTACCCAGCATCATCAGTTGAATGATGGAATGAACCTGTTAAGTTCTATAGTATGATAAGCGATACTACATCGCTACGCAACAAAGTAAAAGCAAATCAAACACAATTGTTAAATAGAGAAAACTAAATTATATATAATTCTACACTCGAATACTGGTTAATGCCCGGTTTTTGTTCATTAATAAAGAGAGGATCTTTGATTTTGTTTCTATTTGTATTATTTTCTCTGCTTGTGATTTGAACATCCGAAAAAACAAACAAGTGTTTAGTTTGAACCGTATGCTCAAACAGATGGGAAAGGGCTTTGAAATGTTCATTTAATATTGTAGATACTTACTTGTCAACCGGTTTTTCCAATGTAAGAATTACAACAGTCTTTAGATGTAATTTGATTCAAGGATCTTGAAGTGGCCTTGTCAACGAATTTATGCGATACAGTTTGACCTAGTTTTCTTGCTGTTATGAAGGAAAATTTCGCATCGAAATCCATATTGTACCCTTTAGTCGTTTTAACCACGTTTGTTTTTGGGGGGATAGCATGTGAGAGCCTGGGTATATATGGTATAACATGATAAAAAAAAGTGTTTTTCTTAATCGTTGGTTGTACCTTCAGGTCGCGATTGATCTTCTAGAGATGTAAATGTTTTATTTAAGACTGTGAGAGGACACTTGTTTTGCAATTTAAGTTGCGATTTTAACACATCTATGTCTTTGAAACATGTTGACTCTGTTTTGTTAAACATATGGACGCTATTTTTTGTGACCTGTCGACTGTATTTTGTATAACATATGGACGCTGTTTTTTGTGGCCTGTCGACTCTGTTTTGTATAATATATGGACCCTGTTTTTGTGACCTGTCGACTGTATTTTGTATAACATATGGACGCTGTTTTTTGTGACCTGTATACTCTGTTTTGTATAACATATGGATGCTGTTTTTTGTGGCCTGTCGACTCTGTTTTGTATAATATATGGACCCTGTTTTTGTGACTTGTGAATCTCAGTTCAGTGTTTCGTCTATATAATGCTATTGCAGTGTTTGGATCCGAAATATTCAAACTGAATATGTGTTATTTATCGTTCCTTTAAAAGTTCATCTTATGTGAACCAGGGGGATTCATAAGACTAAACACTTAATTTAATTTAGTAGATTAAATTTAAATTAATGATTAGACATAAATATCCCCAGTTTAAGTGAAAATAAAACTAATAAAATCAGTTCATATAGATGCATATTACATCATCGTTCCATGAATCATCGTATGCATCATGAGAAAACACCTGTACAGACTAAGATGGGTTACAGAATATCAAATTTTTTAATAAACGTCGACGCTACTGATTATTTTTATTTCTGGTTCTATCAATTCTTCTTCGCAATTTTTTTTGCCTCTACTTTTTCCTTTTAGGAAGAAATTTCATTTCATTTTCTTCATCAGGATTCGGTCCATGTTTCGGACCAGGGAAGGTCAGGTTTAGCGTTGACCTCTTCCTCCCTCTCAAGAATTGTTATTTTGTTTGCGCTGTTACTGAATCATAGGTAATAAACCTTGTTACGTTGTTGCGTTACTCAAAGTATGTAAATTTTGTGCATTATCCGCAGTGTTTAATTAAACTACCCTGTTAGTGCTATGTCCAATTCATGAAGTAATATTAACTCGTATATTTTCACTAGCTGCACTTATACACGATCGCACTATTAGTCCGTGTACACAATACAGTTCCGCTTACCTGGCGCTGGGAATGCCATGATCACGAAGGACGAAACTACTTATACAACAGGAACATTTAAACCTTGGCGCCACAAACGACTGTTGACCTGAGTTTTACAACATCTTTCTTATTTTAGGCAGACATTTACTACAAAGCTGTTGTTATGACTAACTCGAACAATCTTTGACTGTTTTATTGCACTCATAGTCATCAAGTCGCTCTCATAAACTTTACGGTCCTCCTCAAGCTACTATTCCAGACTGCTAGTGGGTCATTCTGTCCATTCAATATGGGCGATTCTGTTCACTCAACAGCTGAATCGTACCTCCTTTTGTTTCACCGATAAATGGCATTTTCTCACACATTACACATGTGCAATTCTGTTCACTCAACAGCTGAATCGTACCTCCTTTTGTTTCACCGATAAATGGCATTTTCTCACACATTACACATGTGCAATTCTGTTCACTCAACAGCTGAATCGTACCTCCTTTTGTTTCACCGATAAATGGCATTTTCTCACACATTACACATGTGCTGGTATTTTCAAAAAATAATTTGAACTTAAGAAGTGACACATATTTTTTTAACTTTGTTTCTTTGTTGTATAGCCCAAAGCTGCACAACGGGCCACCTGTGCTATGACCACCGCCGGTATCGAAACCTGGTTTGTTTGCATCATAAGCCCACTTGACTTACCGCCGAGTCACAGTGGAAGAAGGGGGGGGGGGGGTAAGTATACCCACATTGTGTTTTTAGTGTTATAAGCCGTCAACATCAAAGTTACATCTGAGCCACTGGGGGGGGGGGGTACAGTGACGACAGGGCTTAAGAATATTGATTTTCAGTGAAAATACAACGTATTTTTACTTCATTCTATGAAGTACTTATATTACTAATGTATTATTAATTCTCTGAAAATTTGTATTAAATGCCCCTCGGTTTGCTAAAATCCAGAGTTCGATTCCCCACGGTGGACACATCAGATAGCCTAATGTGTCATTGCTTTAAAACAAACGAACTTGTACCGAATAAAAAACTACGCAAAATATATGGCATCACATA